CCTAGCGACCTCATTTTAGACAGGACGGGCTTTCTTAGGCATACCTTTTCATCTAGGAATGGAGAAATGAGCTCAAATCATGCGATTGTGCATGGGCGGTCTTATCGTCATCGGTCACACCAAATAAAATGGAATCGAAAGTCAATACGGAGATCGGAGCTTCCACAATCAACGGATTCTTTCTTGTTGACTTTCAAATTTAGCTCGTAGCAGGTGTGCGTGCGTGTGCGTATGTGTGAGTCACGCACGCTGTAATATATGGACCAATGTGTGCAAACGAGATCTTGTCCTGCACCGAACGTATCGTCCGATGCGCGTAGCGGCACGGCGGGCCCGTCCACCGAGACAAGCGCCTCCTGCAGGGAGTCAAATTCAAATTCAAATCACGGCCGCAGCCGGCGGCGTTCCGCTCGGTGATCGGCCCCCCCCTTTGACGGAAACGGCGTAAGGGGGGAGGAGCAGTCGGGATTGTCAGAAAAGCAAAAAGCGGAAACACGCCAACAAGCGAGACAAGAGTCGGGCCGGAACGCTCGGCTTTATTTTGTGGGACCGCAAAGCAAAATGCGCGGCGCCACTTTTTGCCGGTCGCCATTGACATCGATTGGTGCGCGAAAAGCTCGCTTTGGAAAAGAAATGACCTCAAATCGTGGATCGGATGAATGGCAACGATGGTCGGATCTCGACTTGTGTCGCAGATCGCCGTTGGACGCGGATCACGCCATCGTGGCCATTTAGGCTTTCATCATCGAGCCAATTTGAAAAGCGACGTCATTCCACGCGAGTCGCGCTCTCGTCTATAGCGCCCGTCCCGTTTGTCCTTCCGTCCATCCGCACGTCCCTGGAGAGGCGCCACATCGGTCCGGCGAGAGAGAGAGGTGTGTGCGCTCAAGTCGGCTCGCGATGACGCTCGGCGAACGGGGAAGGCGGCGGCGGCGTCAGAAGCCGGGAATGTGGCAGTAGGCCTCGAGCGACGACAAGACGACATACGTCAACCACAGGCTGAAGAACAGGCCGGCGGTGGCCGTCTTGGCGAGCGGCGGTCCGCCGAGTTCTCCGCCGATGCGGGGTCGGCGCCGATAGATGAGGACGGCGATGCATACGAAGGCGAAGACGGTGAAGAGGGTGACGGAGAAGGCCAGCGTTCCCGGGTCCACCCTGAACACCTGGTCGCGGGAGCGGTGGTAAATGGCGGCGATGGACCAGGCCACGCCGATGCCCAGGAACACGTTGACGGCGTTGCTTCCCGTCACGTTGCCGATGGAGGCGTCGGCGTACTGGTCTTGGCAGGCCGCCACCTTGCTGGCGAAGGTATCTGAGGAAGACGGCGGCCGGATTGCGTGCGGGCCGCGCCGGATACGGACGGACGAGCGCGACGGCCTACCTGGCACGGACGTTCCCAACGCCACGAACACCACGGCCGTGACCGAGTCCTTCAGGCCCACCGTGCAGCCGAAATGGGACGCCAGGTCCCCGATGAGCGCCGTCAGCACGCCGATGACCGCGATGGAGACGGCGAAGCACGCCCAGCCGTTCCAGTAGTCGGCGGGCGGGACCAGCGCGAACAGAAGCTTCCAGAAGACGGTCAGGAAATGGACGGCGTAGTCCGGAGCGGAGGGCGGCTTCTTGCCGCCGTCGTCGTCTCCTAGACGCGACCGAGACGTGCTCCGTTTGCAGACCGGACCTCGGCGTTCCGGCCTCGCGGGCGTGAGCGGCGAGATCGGCCGGTCAAGGACGGA